GGGGAGCAGCCTCCCAGTCCCGCCCGATCCCGGGTGCAGCACGGCCCCAGGGCACCAAACCCTCCTCCCGGGAGGGAGGCTGGATGAGCCTGGACACGCGGAACTCCGGGGTGGCAGGAGGCTGCCTTGGGAACCACCTTTTTCTCGTTTCCTTCGTTTTTCTTGCCCCAGCACTGGAGGAAAGAGCCGATCTGCAGGATCCAGCCATCCTGGTGGCCGTGGCATCCAGCGGATTTCGCAGCCGGGTGCTGTGGATTGAACCGCAGGGAAAAGAAAGGTTTTGGGAGAAGAAACCCGAACCCCGACAATCTCCAGGCCGGGAGGTGCTCCGAGGAGGTGGCCAGGAAGGTGGTGGACCCTGGGGATGGATGAGTCTGCGGGTGCCAGGACTGATCTGACAGCTGGAGGACTTTTTTATGGAATATCGGGCAGGAAGGCAGTGCTTCTGCATTTCTCCACTCCAAAGCCTTTAGAAATCTGGGATGTCTGTAGAAATCTGGGAAATGTTTGGGAATCTGGGTACACAGCGCCTTTGCACACTCCAAACCAGGAGAAGCCCATCCCTCTGCCAACCCACCAAGCACCAATGCATGGATCTCCTGATCTTCAATTTGTGTGAATTCACTTTGCTCCTGAGTTATTTCCAAATGGGATCCTGGATTTGGGAAGCGTCCGTGGTCCCCAAGAAAGTTCTGTCCAGGGAGCATTTCTGGGGCTCTGCTCCGGTGGAGAAGGAATTTGTTGGAATTTAACAATGGCATTGTTTGGAGCAGCGTTTCTGCCTGGTTTTCCTCACGAGGAATCAGGAATTGGGGACCTGTTGGGCTGTGTTTGGCTCCTTGGGATCATTCCCAACAGCACAAAGGTCTCCAAGGTGGATGGGAGGGAAATACTCTGGATGTGCCTGAGCTGGATGGATGCAAATCCCCATTGCCGTGATGCCGGATCCATTCCATCGGGATCGCGCGGAGCTGGTGGGTTTTACCCCAAACCCAGAGCGAGCCGGGCCCGTACCGGGCTGAAATCTCATCCCGGCATCTTTCTCCTGCTTGGGAAGTGGACGGGAACCAGGCACGGCACTGCCGGAGCAGCGGAGCCGAGACCACGCACAGGATTGGCATTACTGCCAAAAAAACCAGTTTAACCCCAGGAATTCGAGTCTGGAGGCGAGGATTTAAATAAATCCAAACCTTCCTCAGGCGTGGAATTCCATCCAAACAGTTCTCCCGACGCCACGCCGGTGTAATTAATGCACCTCGGTGTAATTAATGCTGCGATCCCAAAATAAATGAGGGAAAAATCCATAACCTGGGCTTATTCCGGCTTTTTTTGTGCCACTCCTGCAATGAATTCCCGAGGATACAGAGCTGTATCTGTCTCCTAAAGAAAATAGATCCTAAACTGCGCTGCTGCCAAGGAAAATGATTAAAATACGGATTTTTGGCAGGAAAAAGGGCTGCTCCAAAAACCGGGCGGGTCTCGCTGGCGGTTCTGGCAGAGCGGGGAGGGTTTTTGGCATCGGGATGCGGCTGGAGGTGTTGCAATGGGGGGATTTTCCGGCGTGGGGGCTCGCTCGATGCTCAGCATCCTCGGAGCGCGGCAGCTCCTCCTTCCTCCTGCACTAATCTGGGATGTTCTGGTTTCTTTGGGATTTGCCCCCATCAGTGCCGCCTTCCTTCCCCACCTGGTAAATATTATGGAAAATCCCTCTTTTTTCCCACTTTTTGGCTCGTCCGTGTTGCTCTGCGCAGCTGCTGGGCTGACCCAGTCCTTCCCGGCCCGGAGCCCTGCCCGTGCCTCAGTTTCCCTACTCCCAGACTCCCGCCTGCTCTGCAGAGCTGCCGCACACAATGGCCCCTTTATCCCCGCTCCTTAATTATGCTCTTCGGCTAATTACCCTGCGGGCGGAGTTTGTAGACCTACGGGAGGTTTCCACTCCCCCCCGCCCCCCAAATCTCCCTCCTCCCTCCTTTTCTAACACGATTCCCAAATTAAAGCGATGAAGTAAGTGCTCGGGGCGCCTCTGCTCAGCCCTGGGATTGTTCCGGGACTGAGGCGCATTCATCATCCTTCTGGAATTCCCAGCAGCTGCTTTTCATTAGTTTTCCTTCCTTGAAGTCGCTGGGAGGGAAGAGGAACCCGGGGGGAAGTGCCCGGTGCATCC